TCTGTAAAACACGCGTTATGGGCGTTGAGAGAGGGGTAGAGATTTTAGGGGGCAATTCATTCACAGATGGATCGATAGGTTCTAAAGGTATAACCTTTGTATGCGTTTCAATACCAAATGTTTGATATAAACCTTTTTGGTAAAGAATAAGCGAGTTATTGGTAACCGTTATATCGCTTCGTTGACCAGATCTGCAAATTAACACATAAAGTGTTAAACCATTTAAAGGTATTTCCTGTGAGTTATATCTCGGGTCCCAACCGGTGAACGTCCGGACGGCGCGGATGTCTATTTTGGCGTCCGTTACGACATTCATAAACCCTTTTACGGAAACCCTAGAAAATGGTTTCAATTGAATTGTAGAAATCAATTTAAACGATTTTTTATAGGAAACAGAGTATGAATTGGCGTCCATTGAAATGCTTTTAAAACTTGTCATAACCTCTGTTTGAATATAAGATTTAATTTCAGAGCTAAGAAATCCTAAATAAGACGCTTTAATTTTCGCTCCGATATATGCTTTGATATGCGATGTATTGAACGATTCAAAACACTTTTGAAATGAAATCTCATTATTAACTGTCGTTTCAAATGAGTGTTCAATTGTTTCGGTCGTAATAGCGTTGGCATTATTTTCAATAATTTTTGTTAAAATCATATCTGTTTTCACACTCTTTTTCACTGCAATTTTTAACGGCTCCTGTTTTTAAAATAGTTATGTATTACTTTACTTGTATAGTACATTGATTCACAAACCTTGCTTGATGGAATTGCGATAAATTCGTCCAGCATAGTTTTAATATCATATCTATCATATGATATTTCATCAATTTCTAAATGTACCAGTTTATCTAATATAGTAAATATATCATATTTTATTAATAAATAATTGAATTTTAAAAAAACAATAAACAAGGTTTACATGAATTGTTATAAATTTGTGCGATGCAACATTTAAATAAAGTTTAAACTCGTTAAGTTGTATTTGTATTAATTAAATTACTATATAACTAAAAATTTGTTTTTAAAATGTAAATATTTTGTATAAAATTTTAGAATTTATATTATATTAAAATACAAAATACCTTAATATTGACAATTTATTTTCAACAGTAACTAATAAGTATTATCGTGCAATCCTTGTTAAACAACTAGATTTATTAATATATTTCTAATGGCGATTACTTACAGCTAGTGTTGCCAACTCTTATCAACTACCGCCTTGAAAAATACAAAAATTTTCTAAATTCACCTTGACCAAACCTTGACCACCATTATTATTGCATATTTGATTATAAATATTTTTAAAATATGAGCAAAATATAAATTTAAGTTTTAATTTAATTTAGTTTTACTATAATAAAGTGTATTTTTCATATAAGATACGGGCTTTTTGAAGACAAAAGTCTTTCTTATGAAGAGTTTTTAATAAAGGATTTGTTTTGCTATTATACAAATAGGCAATAAATATTTTTCTGTGTTTTAAATAGTGTGTTCATTACAATAAATACTTAAAATAGACATACGGTAATTACATTTGCTCTCACCTTGACCTGTCTATGTCAAGGTGAGACCCTCGCCTTTCACCTTGACCAGAACCCTCTCACCTTGCAAATCAAGGCAAACCTTGACCAGTTGGCAACACTACTTACAGCTGTTGTTTGTCAAATCCTTCATTGTAAAAGCGTTTTTGTTTTTGTTGAATTTATAATCTAGGAAACATCCCCATAAAATTTTATCACCTTTTATAGTAATAATATTGAACCAAATCTTGTCATTATCAATGAGTTGAAAAGTGACCATGTTCGCGCTACCAGTCCAGTTACCTGATGCTATTCCTCTAATATTATAGAATAGATGTTCGTATATTCCGGTTCCCACATCATTAAAATTTTGTATCTCAAAATCTGTTATGTTTAGCATATTTACTGATGACATGACGTTTACAATTAAATAAAGAGCTGACACAATTAATTTACAATACATTATCACCAAAATTTAAAACTATTTTTGTTTAAAATTATACAAAATAGAAAGTTTTGAAAGTTTTTTTAATATATTTCTTTTATAAACTTGAATCTTTATATACCGGTGTAAATACAAAAATTGTCTAAATATTTCATTTCTGAGCATTCATTTTGTGGGAAAATATGTTGTATTTTATGTTTATTTAGTATTTTCATGTGAAACAAATCATTTAAGTTGAATTTCAAATTTCAAAGTTAAATTAATTAAAAATCATATTATGTTTACAATTGTATAACTATATTAATTTTCAAAGAATTTTGTTTATATACAGTAATTATGTTAAACAAAGATTTTAAAGCCACCCCTCCCTAATTTCCCAACCCATAGTATTTAATATGAGATTGCATTTTAACCTACGGCAAAAACTAAACATGGGTAATTATAATCTTATAGATAATGTAAATTCTAATAAATGACTGTAATATTGAAAATCTTATTCTTTCGCAATACCAGAATTGTGGTTAATATATAGTGTCGCGGGTTTGGGATTAAACTTATTTAATGTAAAATTAAATTATCATGATCTCTCTCTCTCTCTCTCTCTCGTCTTAAATATTCTCAAATATTGAAGTAAATATATTGTTTTTATATACAGTATCCGCTATTATATAAATGTATTTACAAATTATTTAAAATAATTAATTTAAATAACTTTTTAATGATTAATAAATAAAATTTAACAAAGTACATTTTCACACTAAATGAATGCTCACACAAATATTTACTTAAAACAATTATTTAAATACTTTATTATGAGTAAAATTATTGGGAATGCTTTTTAACATCAAATTCCATTATTTATATAATAAAATGTAATTCAACTAAAACAATAAATAATTTCTTATAAAATGAATTGTCACAAAAATATTTAAACAATGTTTAGAACAAATATATAATAAAATAATTTCAAATCCATAGCAATTTTGCGATTTAGTTTATAAAATCATATAAATCACAAATAATTATTATATAATTGCTTTAATAATTGTTTTAATTTTTAAACAACCTATCAAATATGTATTCTAAGCTAATTGTAATAGTTATTTATATGCTAGTAAATATAACAGCATCACTAGCTATGGTTGACATCACTAATTATGAAATCCATTATACAAACGGAACGGCAACGGGTCTATACCAACATCTTTTATATAATATAAAATTCAGTAACAAAATCATTAATTCCGGAAAAATTAAACTTTCGTTCTTTGGATTGATTGACACTCAGTTAATAACAAATGGGTCCGAAATGTCTGCCGAATGGAGCATGGTGAGTTTTATGCAATCTGACTATTACACAAAACAGGCGCATATTATTGATAAAATGGGATCAAAAATTCCAATTTTATTTACATCGGGATATAAATTGAATAATAATAATAATCCTAACGATGATTTTATTATGGAAACCAATGTGAACGTGTTTAATGGTAAATTGCAATTTTACCATGTTGATCACTGTTTTTATTAATTATATTTTATTTTATTATATATTATTCTAGTAAAATATATCAAACTAAGAATTACCATGGTACCTATTGAAGAATACCAACTCGTAAACACCTTGGACCAATTAGAATTACTTACAACAAACAATGTTAGTGAAAAATTATACCAATTAAATTAAATTAAATTATACCAATTATTGTTTTCATTTAATGAAATAATATTTATATTGAATGCAAAAATAACAGGCATTGGAAAAGTCACTGAAAACGGATTTAATTTTAGCAAAAATAATCAAAAACAATGCGAACACTATTTTAAGTGAAACCATCGAAAAGACCGTTGAAACTACAGATGAGACTGAGATTAGTATTGAAAATAGTTTTGAAAGTTTGAACACAACACACATCAAAACAAGGGTTAAACCAAGCGTTAGCTTATCCTTGTTTGGACTCATCAAAACCGAAGTGGGCGTCGATAGGGAGGCCGATGTTATGGCGGGCTTTAGATCACTTTTCACTACAGGAATTACTTATAGTGTTTCCCAACAAAAGTCGTTTACAATAAAGTCCGAAATACAAGTGAAACCCTTCACAAGTGTTTCGCTTAAGGGATACATAAAGACAGTAAAAAACATGGAATTGCGGTTTCGGGCCATTCGCTCGTTTACGGGCATTGATCCACGATTTACTCGACCAGATATACCACTCAATGGTCGGACACTTTACGTATTGATCGGCAAATACGGTTACAAACACAACATAACTGTTAACAATCACTCAATTGTTGTCAACCAAAGTGGCTTATATCGGGGTTCGTTTGGCTTAGAGACCTACACTGAAGTAACCAATTTAACAGACAAACCACCGGTGGATAATACCATGTTTACTATTACTACACCCCGTTTGCCATCAACAACGAGTACGCCTACAACACAAATCACTACAACTGCACCCAATCTATCCATTCAAACGACTACCGGTTCCGACGGTTTGCGAGAATCGGACTCAAAAATTTCATTTTCCTCTTTGGAAATCATATGCTTTTTGCTAATAATTGGTTTGATATTTGTTGTCATTATATTGTTGTGGAATAAACGGGAACATTATTTGAAACATTTTTATACTAGCAATGATAACAATTCTGTATTTTATCATAATTATTGAATATGATTATTATTTTTGCTAATATGTTTTTAATGTTTATTGTATCAATATTAATTACAATGTTTCGTTACATATTAAAAATTGCATTAACAATACCAGTGTTAAATATAAAATATTCTTAATAATAAAAGTTTATTTAAAATTTTTTTACTCATTAATATTTGGCAATTGTATTCTTAATTAGTGTTATTATAAATAGTATTAATTATCCATTGGATGTGATGCGAGACTCGAACCCCAGTTATCTCAGCCCCTTCAATAAAATCCAGACAATTAATTGCGTCAGTTCGGTCCGCATTTACTACAATCCCAATAACCACTGCCACTCCGTTCGCATACTGTACTATTGGTGAGCCGGAATCACCCTGGTCAACATTTATTATTAAAACAAATAAATCTTTAATTAGATTTTTAAAAATGTTAAATTTTCTATTTTAAACACAATATGCTATGTCTAATAATGTCTATACAGAGGATGAAAACTATAAAGTTACATATTTTAAATTGAAATAATTTTAAGCATGTATAACTTTGATTACTAATTTATATATCAAATTATTGTGTAATTATTTGAGTTCAAAATCCACATTTAAAAGATTATTAAGTATACGCCACACATAAAATATTATACTAATAATACAAGTGAATAGACGTACAGTACAAATACCCGAACCCGACGGGAATGGTATGCGTTGTGCAGCGAAACCGTAGTTTTGGCCAAAGGTGTTGTCCGCAACGGCTTTCATGAGTTTAGCGAAACCAATTCGCTGTATTCCCGCTCCCGTCCCGTTATCGTTGTCGTCCCCGAACCCGACCAATTGCACGTATTCTTCCCCCTCATTGACGGCCATCTCTTCGGGCAAACAAATCGAGTTAATACCCGACGAACCGGTCGTCCCGTCCAATGGTATAGCGGTGTTGAGTCGTATTAATGCCAAATCATAAGATTTCAATTGATTGCTCTCAAACTCGGATGTCATGAAATACTGACCGCCCGTATAGTATGGATGGCTCGTAAAGCTTTGGATCGTTAGCCCCGGATATACACGAATATCAGTCACCGCACAGTTTGCGCCACAACTGAGATATTAGTGTAATATATGTTTATTAATAACTTCATATCGTTATTTAAATATACAATTATTAATAAGTAATGAACACACGATTACATACTATAATCCGTGAGCACACGTTAGAATCCATCGCTCATTTAATATTACACCACTGAATGTAGTAAAACTGAGAGAGAGAGAGAGAGA